TAGAAACATCGATGAGAGAGAACATCGATTGGATGCCTCCTGCATGCCCCCACTGGGGATTCCGCCCACAACCTGGGCTTGTGGGAATTGAACTGGTGACCTCTTGGTGCATGGGTCGATGCTCAACCGCTGAGCAACACCAGCCGAGTGAGATTCATTTATATTAATCCATGTAGCTTTAATTCACTAACTCTAAGTATAGCATTCCATCCTATGAATATACCGCAATGTATATATCCATTGGTCTATTGATGAACATTCTGATCTTTCAAAAACAAATTTTATTATTATAAACAATGTTGCAATGCATAGTGTTGCACTTGTCTCTTCCTGCACATCTACATGGATTTCCACAGGATACATGCCTAAGAATGAAGCTGTTCAGTTTTAGGATATGTAAATGTTTGGCTTTACTAGATATTCTTCAAAGCTGTGGCCTCCACTCCCTTCCCATGAGCAGTGCAGGAACATTTCCATTGCTCACCATCCTTGGGTAGGTGAGGGAAAAAGCTACATGTCTCATTAAAAGAAGTGATCTGTAATTCACATACCATTTAAAGTGCATATATACTTCAATGGATTTTGGTGTATTTAGAGTTGTGCAAACATCATCACAATCAACTTCAGAACATTTTTATTACCCCCAAAAGGGACCCTACACAAAAGTTAACTGTCATTCTCCAATCCCCCTACCTCCAGCTCAAGTCAACCACCAATTTGCTGCCTGACTCTATGGATTTGCCTATTCTGGACATTTCCTATAAACGGAATCATACACTATATGAACCTTTGTGATTGATTTCTTTCACTTACCATAATGTTTTCAAGGTTCATCCATGTTCTAGCATGCATTGGTACTACATTTCTTTTTATTAATGAATAATATTCTATTAAATGGATATACCACATTTATCTAATGATGGACATGCATTTTCCCCGTACCATTTGGCGATGAGAAATAATGCTGTTGTAAACATTCCCGTACAAGTTTCTAAGCGGAAATATGTTTTTATTTCTTTTGGGTATCTACCTGGGAGTAGAATTGCTGGGTCAAATGGCAATTCTGTGTAATGTTTGGAGGAACTGACAAACTGTTTTCCACAGTGGCTGCTGCATTCTACATTTCTACTAGTGTATGAGAGTCCACTTTTTCACATCTTCACCAACACTGGTTGACTGACTTTTTGACTTTGACATCCTAGTGGGTGTGAAGTGGTATCTTATTTTGATATATCTCATTGTTGTAATTACTAGTGGAGTATCTATTTATTGTTCATTCCTATTTTCTGTTCTGAGAATGTCCTGTCCATAATATTTGCCCATTCCCCACCCCACTTGCCTTTACTCATTGATTTGTCAGTGTTTGTTTTTATTATCTATTAAATTTTTTTCTTTATTAATTTTAGAGAGAGAAGAAGGGAGAGAGAGATAGAAACATCTCATCGATTGGCTGCCTCCTGCATGCCCCCCACTGGGGATCAGGCCCACAACCTGGGCAAGTGCCCTGACTGATGACCTCTTGGTGCATGGGTCGCTGCTCAACCACTGAGCCACATTGGCCGGGCGATATGTTTGTGTTTAAAAATACATTTGGATATTAAATCTTTTGCTGATCTTATCCACTGCAAAAATATGTACTCTCAGCATGTGGATTTGCTTTTCACTTTGTTTTTGTTTTGTTGTACACATTTTAAGTTTTAATGCAGTAGACTTTAATCAATCTTTCTTTTTTGGGGGATTATACTTTTTTTCCTTCTTCTTTTTAATATCCTCACCCAAGGATATTTTTCAATATTTGTTCCGATAGAGTGGGAGGGAGAGAGAGGAAGAGAGAGAGAAAGAAACATCAACGCAAGAGGGACACATCAAGTGGTTGTAGCCCACACAACCCCCATCAGGTCCGGGGACAAGTTGCAACCGAGTTATGTGCCTTTGACTGGAATTGAACCTGAGACTCATTGGTCTGTGGGCCGACACTCTAACCACTGACCAAACCGGCCAGGGCAGGTTTATACTTTTTGAGTCTTTTTAGGAAATCCTTCCTGTCCTCAAGGGTATAAAAATATTTTCCAACAATAAACTTAAGAGCTTGCTTTTCACTTCTCATGTTAAAAGTTGAATCCAGAGCAATTTGGCCTTTACTTCATACTTTCCCTTTCTGTGTTTGCCTTAGAGGATTACTTCTCAAGATTTGACATAGCAACCTGTTGTGAGGGAAGGTGGTAGGGATCAGTATGTAAATAATCTGGAGAAGTGTGTCCAGAATATCATTTGTTCCCCAGTCTGTGGCGTCTGCACATCCTGCAATTCTGCCTCACTGGCATGATTCATGCATAAGCACCTGCTCATGGGGCAGAAGTTTTTTTGCCCCTGGAGCTCCCACACAGCCTTAGAATCTGCCCAGTTTCCTGTGCAGCAACCTCTGGCCATCAGCCAGATTGTCCCTGAATCTCTGCCTTCCAATGAGACTGGTGTCTAGCCACACTCTAGCAGGGTTCTGTCCATCTCATTGTTCTAACCCAAATGTCCCATAGGGTCTGGATGAGGAAAGAGTGGATCGGGGCAGGGAGATTGTCAGCCTGGCTCCCTAGGCTCAGCTTCAACCCTGTTCAAGGAGGTGAGAAGAGAAATTGGAAAGCCATCAGCAACACAGACAGCAGACTTCTGGCCCTCGAACCCACCGGTGCCTCTGTGTATCATCTCTGTCTGGGCCTGCATGATCTATCTCTGATTTCTTGCTCACCGATTTTATTTTTCTCCTCGTAGGTCCACAAGACATCCCCTCCTCTTGTACATCCGGGTAATGTACACCAAGCTCCAAAAAGAGTGAATGAGAGACAGAGCCCACTGACCCCAAACAGGGTCTTTAGGAAGATAGTCTTCTCAGAGGGGTGGGACAAGATGCAGCTTACTCAATGGGACAAGGCTCTCTTTGGCATTCAGAGAAGATGGGCATCTAGAACCCATACAGGTGGTACTGCCCTCCCAAGGCTGCCCCCTCAAGGACCAGTCACACCCCCAGCTGTGTCACATAGGCCCAGAGCAGTCTGGGGCTTTCCGCCCCTGAGGCATCGGTGCTGCCCTGACCTTGTCGGATCAGGGTCTCCTCCTCCTTCTTCACCTTTCCTGAGTCTTCCCAATGCCAGATACTATGATACATGGTGAAACCCATGTAGAGAGCACTGGGCACAGCCACCAAGATGGCCTAGAAGGCCCCAAAGCACGGGGGTGGGGTGCATCATAGCAGGTGGCCTTGCAGCCTGGCTGCTGGGTGTGACACACACATTCGCTTTGCTCATCACCATAGACCCCTGTCCCACTGGCAGCCAGCAGCATGAGGCGGGATCCCAGGAGCATGGGGAGAAGGAGGCGCCGCACAGGTGGAGTGCCGCACAGGTGGAGTGCCGCACAGGTGGAGTGCCAGCTCTCCTCAGCCACCAGCTGCCTCGGGAACCTGCACACATCTTGCTGTGGAACACTGAAGACAGGTGGTTATGAGTGATTTTAAGCTAAGGTAGATTTCTGGCCTGCTGGGGATGATTTTGCTTGAGTTCTGTCAGCAAGCCTGCTTCTTCCTCTGGTGTTCTGTGAATAGGGTCTTTCATGCCCTACAGTGGCTGAGCAAGAACTGAAAAATTGACCTGACTCTCTAGCTTGTGCAAGAAACCCAAGATTTTTTACTGGGTAAGTGTCTATGAAGTGTCTCCTGTTAATCTAGGGCCTGACACATGAGGGAGATGAACGGGAGAAAAGGTCACGGATTTATTTTCTTTAAGTCTCATGTGTTCTTTATATCCAAGTCTTTTTTGGCATCTGGCCACTTTTGGATATTGTCTCCAGCTCATCTGAGTGGCAGTGAAGTAATGCAAGGGGAAGATTGGTTTATGCAGGCATGGAATGGTGCCAGAGGCAAAGCAGTGGACAGTAGTCCGTCATTGAGCTGAAGAGAGAGACTCTAAAGGTGTTTCTAAGACAGTGAGTGATTCTCTAGGGAATGTGGTAGGAGACTGGCAGGATTTCTGTTTGTTGGCTGTTTGCTTGTTTGTTTATTTTTTTTGGACAAAGGGGTAGAGCTCTTCTTGTGGAGGTATTTCATTAAAAAGGTCTGGCAGGCTCTGGCTGGTTTGGCTCAGTGGTTAGACTGTCAGCCTATGGATCAAAGTGTTGAGGGTTTGATTCCCAGTCAAGGGCACATACTTGAGTTGCAGATTCGATCCCTGGCCCTGGTTGAGGTCGTGTGGGAGGCAACCAATTGATGTGTCTCTCTTATATTGATCTCTCTCTCTCTCTCTCTCTCTCTCTCTGTCTCCCTCTCTCCCTCCCTCTCTTCCACTCTCTCTAAAAATCAATGGAAACATATCCTTGGGTGAGGATTAACAAAAACTAAAGAAGATCTGGCAGGGCAGGAGGATGTGGGCCAGGCCAGTCCATTGATCAGAAAATCTAAAGGACCTGTGGATGATAACGGGCCACATTCTAGCTAACTTCAGTTGAAAAAAAGGAAAAACCACAATCAAATGAATTTGGAAGGTGTACAGGAACATTAGACTGATTCTTGACTCCCTGGGAGTGCATCTGGGAAGGATGAAGCCGCTCAAATGACCTATACGTAGTTGTGTGTGGGCCCCAAGGCCAACTTGGTGTGGGAGGGGTGGAGTAGCTGGAGTGGAGGGCAGTGTCTCTCAGGGGACAAGGACATGCTGGGGAAACTGAGGTACAGAAGAGGCTTCAGGTTGAATTAAAGAGGTTGCAGAGTTCTATGACCTTACAACCAGAGGGGACATCAGCAGTGGGCATCTGAACAATGCTCAAGGTACCTGGTGGTCATGCCACGCTACAGTGGGAACCCAGGTCAAGTTGGCCAGTACATAGTGCTTCCGGCGGATATGAAGAATTTCAGATGATTCAAATGCTTGGGGGCGGGATGAATGATAACCTCTGCTGACACTTCTACAGCATTTAGCAGTTTAACAATCTGATTTATTTTGTGTCTAGGCTAGTTGATTAAATTTCACAGAATAGATACTTGGTTCTAAGGGGGATGTAGCAGTGAGTCATCTCAGTGCCCAGCATTCAAGTCTTGTGTCTCCAAATTCATTGCTTCCCTGGGCCTCGCTGATGGCGATGACAGTCATTCTAGAGCTTCTCTCTCCCGTATTCTGACAAAAGGGTGGTTACTGATCTCCAGACCCTGAGGTGCCTTTAGCCCCAGATTACTGCCTCTCATTCCACAGGACAGCAAGGGGCTGGGCCAGACTGCTGTGCTGCACATGGCAGGAGTAGGGCCCTCTGTCTGAAGAGGGGATTTTTATCACCACCCAGGCCTGGTAAGTGCCATTTTCACTGAGAGAACCCTCTCCCCATGACTCAGTCTCCACTACGTTGCCTGCCTGAGTCCAGTACACACTGATTGGTCGTGGGTAGAAGTTGTAGGCCAGGCACCTGAGGATCCTGATGTGTCCTAAGTCTCCATGGCTGGTGACTGACACAGAGGGAGGATCTGTGGAGAGAGACAGCATGGAGGTCGTTCCCCTGCTCACATCTCCCCCACCCCTGGAGTCAGGGATGAGCAGAGCCTACAGCTTTCTACCTACTTCCCCAGGGAAATTTCGAGAGGATCAGGGAAGCTGAGGCTTTCCATGGGCCCTCCTGTTAGATAATGCAATGTCCTTGGCTGCTTTCTTGTTTCCCAGCACCCCCTGCCCACCCACTATGTATTGACCTCTGACAGCAAGAAACATGAATGCCCCATGCATTGTTTTGTCCCCCAGCCCCCCGAAAGCTCCCAGTGGGCTTTGTGACTCCTCCTGCCCCCACTCCGAGCCCTGCTTCTTAGTTCTGCCTGCTTCTCTGTCACTGAGATCCTTCCCTCCTCCCTCCCACAAGACATGTTCCTCTGCAGACATTTTACATACCCACCTTCTCCCCACAGCCAAGCCAGGAGGCATATCATAGGGAGAAATGACTACAAGATTTGCCTGAAATATTCCCCTGAGGTTCCAGGCTGGGATCACCTTGGTGTTTCTAAGGTCAGTGCAGGGGAGCATGACAGAGGGAGCAGTGGGTACCTTGACGGTCCAGGAATGTCCTGCTGTATTGCAGGTATTTTTGCAGCTTCTGGGTGCACTCTTCTTCCAGGGAGCTCTTGGCCCGCCACACAGAACCCTCTGTCTCCCACTTCACCTTGGTGTTCAGAGCTTTTGGTTGCAGGGGGATCCAGGCTGGGATTTCTGTGTCGAACTTGATGTAGTCCTGTCCATCATAGGCAATCGTCCAGAATGCCCCACAGTAGTTGTTATTCCGGATTTTACAACCATACTTTTCCTGCATGGTGTGATTCCCTGCATGTAACCCAAATCAGTCAGCTTGGCATCAACTCTGTCTTCATGACTTACTCCTGCACAGTTTACAACCAATTAGGAAGAAAGGGTTTTGAAATCTAAACACACAACCCCTTTATCTTGGCAAACGGGTAATTAGACATAGAGCAGACAGAGAGAGAGAAGGAAACTGGGGTAATTAGACATAGAGCAGACAGAGAGAGAGAGCGAGAGAGGGAAACTAGGATGCTTTGGTGTTTTAGGCCAGTCTGAGATGAGATACATTCTCCCCAGCCAGGGAATTTCAGAGAGCTATGGACTGTAGACAGATCTTCTAGTGCCATGCAGCATTTTTTTAAATGAACTTTGAATATACTGTGAGGTCATAGGAACCGGACACACGCACATGGAAGTACATTGCCAAGTTAAATAGAAATTATTTGTAGTTTAAAATAGATTGTACAACCCATCCTTTCCCCCCGTTCTACATGGAGTTTGATGTCTCCAATAGAGTCCACATAAGTTAATCAGTTCTTCCCTCTATTCTGGTGTCTGATGTTTTCATTACAGATCTTTAACACTGGCCTCCTTCCCCAATTAGCAACACCTCTTGGGACCTGGCCTTCGTAGGAAAGGGGGACAGACCCACTTTATTTCTATTCTAAAAGTACGTGTTTATTCTATACGGATTAGTGCTATTGGCCCTGGCCCTGATCTCAAGCTACCTGGGTTCAAATCCCAGATCTGCCTCCACCCTGGCTTGTTGTTATTTCAGCCAAGAACCTGTGTTGCTTCAATTTTCTTGTTTCTAAAATGGCAATCGCACTATATTAGAGGGGTATTGGGATCATTGCGTGTGTACAGTGCTTAGCACATAGTGTTCAATAAATGTCAGGTCTTATTATTTTCTAATACCTGGTTTTCATCTCTTTATCCTTTTTACTCATGGTTGCTCACATCAACATTTCCATTCAAAGTCAACCACACCTGGTTTTAGTGTCCTTCCCAGGCACCTGGGCCTTACCCTCTCCTATTTCTGAGCACAGCTCAGGCTGTTTTCTCACAATTCACATCCTTCAGATTTTAGTAACTTTTGCCTCCTTTTGGAAACTTTCAGATTTCATGTAGCTTCATGATCATTTTAATACTCAGAAACCCATCTTTTGACACCCACTCTATAATAATTTAAAATCGCCAGTTCACTGGGCCTGCCATCGGCTGGCTTGTGAGGTGGGCAGTGTGGTTCAGGAGAACGAGTGCTGCGTTGGGAGACACGAGAACTAGTCTCTGTGCTCTGCTCTGCACTGGCTCCTCACACCTCGCATCCTAATGAGCCCTCTCACCCAAGTCTCCTCCTTATGGACAGGAGGCTCTTTATGATTTTATGGAACTCCACAGTTTGTGGTTTTGCATTCAATCCTTCCTGAGCTGCTAGTATGAGACATGTTTTGTACTAGGTACTTTCTCTCAACCATTCCGCATCTTCATTGTCTGTCTTCGATTTTAGAGCTCCAGGGGAGATTGAGACAGTCTGTGTTCTAGATTTCACAGAATTTACCTAGATAAGTTTTATGGAATCTCTTGGAGGCAGGACTCAGTGCTCCAGTTTTTGCAGATTCAGACCAGATAATTAAGAACACACTCACTGTGAAACAGCTAGTGACTGGCAGAGCCAGCCCCTGAACCCTGGTCAGAATGACCCAAGGTTAGCTCACTCCCCACCCAACATCCCTGAGTAGGGGCGAGCCTGACATCTAAAGTGGGATCCACCTCAGACCAGTGGGAGTGTGGAGTTGAGAGGTCAGATGTGCCTTGATAAGGGCTGACACTGACATCATTTCCTGTGAGAGCTGAGGCCTGGGAGGGAGGATGGGGAAAGTGATGGGGAAGGAGGAAAAGCAGCTGTGATGTAGGGGAGGGAGTGAAGAAATGTCTATGGATCACTAAATGTGCTGCTGGCTTCTCCTTTGGCATGGAGAGTATTTCCAGCCTGCAGACCCCTTTTCACTCACAGTTGCAAGACTGCCTCTTGAGCTAAGACCTTCCACCCCAGCAGTCCATAGGCCACTGACCTGTGTCCTTGTAAAGGTCCATGATATCTTTCAGGTTCTTCAAGAAGAAGTCTCCTCTGGCCTTCTGAGTTTTACTTACTTCCTCCCAGTCCACCATTCCTTTCACGTGTTTCCATGGGCCCAGGGGCTCAGCCTTTTCACTTTCACTATCATAGTGGAGGAAGGCCTGGTCATTGAGGTAGCCAGTGGCCTGAAAGCTGGGGAAGCCCTCGTTAGGCCTGGATATCCCAATGGAGTAGTAGGTCAGAGAATAAAGCCCTGCAAAAGAGGAGAAAAGACTGAGGTGTGGGATTCACGCAGGGGAGTCCCAATGTGGGGCAGCAGAGGGCCGGGAAGGGAGACCTGGTCACTGGGCTTCTTCCTCCCCAGCTCTCTCCACCCCGCTGCCAGCCTTGCCTTACTGGAAGCTCACTTGAGAGAAAGGGCTCTATTTCTATTCAGGGGATGATATTCCAGAGACCATTTTGTGTTTTACTACATTGTTTCCTCTCCTAGCACATCAAAAGATGATATTTCTCAGCCTTCTTGTAGGTATATTAGGACCATGGCTGAGTTCTGTCAAAAGGGAATGTGAGTGGAAGTGATTTCTTTCTTCTGGTCAGAGGCCCTGTGAGCTGGTTTGAATCCTCTGACTCTCTTTTATTTAGGCAATAATTGTGGAGGCCACAGGATGAAATAGAAGAGTCCCAACATGCAAACTGCCTGGATCCTTGAGTCACCGCAGGAAAGTTGTCTGATCTGTATTAATTTTTACACGATCAAGAAATAAACATTTGTTGAGTTATGCCACTAAAAACTGTCTTTGTTATTGGAGCATAGCCTAGTTAAACCTGACAAACACATATAATTAGAAAGTGTAGGAAGGAGAATTGACTAGAAACCTCAGGACAAGACTTAGATTGGATCAGCATAAGGTACTAACAGGATGGAGCTCAGAGATGCCAGAGCTGTCCCTGTATTTTTGTGTGAGTCAGGGAGTGGTAGAGGGTTGGGACATTTTCATAATTAATTTCAAAATGGATTCCTGATATGACTCTTATGGATATTACTAATGTTAGAGGTCATATTCCAGATTTCTAGTTCAAGTACTGAAGTTACTCTCACTAATTAGTTTCTAAATGTGATGACCATTTTACTCAGTAGGCGTCAAGTGAAGATTACTCCATAGAATGTGGGTGGGCCTCTTCTAATCAGTTGAAGGCCACAAAAGAAAAGACAGGTCTCCAAAGGAAGAAGGAACTCTGCTTCCAGATTGCCTTTGGACCCTAGACTGCAACATCATTTCTTTTCTGGGTCTCCAGTATGCTGACCAACTTTGCAGATTTCACACTTACCAGGCCCTACAATGGTGTGAGCCATACTCTTAAAATACATATATATGCATACTCTGTGCATATACGTGCCATTCATTCTGTTTTTCTGGAGAACCCTGGCTAAATTAAATTATGGAATAGGATGTGATTAACAATATAAATATGATCAATTGTTATAAAAAAACAAATATTCTGACAGTTTGTAAATGTAACAAATTCTAAACTTACACAGTTTAGCTTACATTTCTTCAACCTGAAATTTTGTATGGCAAAACAAGCCTCATTACTCTGTCTTAAAATTGACTCTGGTTCTGCCCAACCTCTAGAGGCTTCTTTCCCAGTCACTAGCCTTGCAGGCTCACTGCTGGAGTGTCTAACTGTGGAGAGAGGGAATGGGTTTATTTCTAGAAGCATCCTCCAGTTAAGAGGCCTTTCCAAGTGCTCTTCGGGGCCCCTGTCTTTCTCCCTGAGAGTCAGCCAGGTACATCCAGCCATTGGAAGTGGGGAGGAACAAAGCGTTCCACCTGTGTGGCCCCTGCTCTGTCCTGGCTGTATGACCCAAGACAGGTCATTTAACTTGTCTGGGTCTTAGTTTTGTTCATTTGCCTACTAAGAATTTTCTGTTCTAATCCTTTAAGGTCTTACTTAGCATGAGCCCAGAGTCTCCCTAAATGCTTCTGGAAGTGTGTGAGCTGAACACCCATTCCTAATATATACACTGGGAATCCTGACTTCATCTGGGGCCCTCTCCCAGTCCATCTATTTTGTTCATTACCTCCCCTCCATTCTTCTCTATACCCAGCCCTCGCTTCCCAACTCACCATCCTGGGTCTCCTGGGCGACTGCAGGACCCAGAAAAAGCAGCGGGAACAGCAGGACAGGCACCATTGTGCTCACTGTGTTGGGTGGAAGGTACTGTACTTCCTGAGGTCCTGGTGCAGACTACTTGGAGACACAGACAGTTATAGTTTTTAGAATGGCTGGGCTGGGGGCTCTCCCCAGGCGAGGTGAAGCAAGGTCAATGAGACAGGCTCCTCACCTGAATGTGCGGAAACAGGATACACAGATCCGGCTGTGCAGATGTTTTCCTCAGTGTGTCCACAGACGGTCTGCCAAAGGAGATCTGAGACAGTCAGTCTAGGGTAGGGACTTTGTCATGGGTCCATGCTGTGGCATTTGTTGCCCTGTTGGCAGTAGCATGTGTTTACAGTACTAGCCCCATGGTGTGATTTGGCTGTTCTTCTCCTGCCTAATTCCTCGTCTCCCCATGGATTCTGAGAACTAACTGGTAACTAAATGTATTTTCTGCTTAAAGTCCAAATAGGAACCTGTTTCAGCAACTAATAATGTGACTGTTACCGAAATTGAGACAGGTTGTTTTCAGGAAACAGTCATTCAGGGAAATGAGGGAGGGGTGACCAGGCTAGTTATGGGGCCAGATTGGGGCTAAAGGCAGTTAAAAAAGTGATGTTGGGCGTGGTCTTGCCGCTGTGATAAACAGATTGACTCAGTCGTTTCTTGTGGTCAATTAAAATACAATGTGAAGGCAAAATATTAGGTGCCAAGCAACTTGAGAAATTCAAAGACAAAGTCTGTGAGGATTGGGTTCATAGAGCTGGAAAGCTTAAAGAAAAAGAGAATCAACTCGAAAGCAGAAAGTATTGGCTTAAAGCACAGTCTGAAACTTAGGTGATTTCTATGATTGTGCAGAAAGACTCTTTTGGCTTTTCTAGTTTAATGGATGAAACAGACAAAAACCAAATAGTGCTTAATGATCTAAACCCAAGAACAGCCCTGGGCATTTTTCTCAGTGGTTAGAGCATCAGCCCTTGGACTAAAGGGTTGCAGGTTCGATTCCTGGTTAAAGGCATGCACAGGTTCTATTCCCGGCCCCTGTAGGGGTTGTGCAGAAGGCAACCAATTGATGTGTCTCTCTCACATCAATGTTGCTCTCTTTCTTTTCCTCCCTCCCTTCCATTCTCTCTAAAAATCAACGGAAAAATATCCTCGGGTGAGAATTAACAAAAAATAAATAAGTTTTCATAACTTAATTCCAAGTGTGATTAAGACTTTCCTACAAATCTTGTACGATTGCTACTAACAGTGGGTAACAACAAGAGCTTCACCAGAGAAGGAAGTTAAGTGTGGAATGGTGGCAGGAAGGGCTTCATGAGAGAGGTTGTGGTTGAGCTACATACCCAACAGGGATAGACTTTCTGTTGGCCTCAAGGGTCACATTTTATAAGAACAGGGATGTATGTATTAGTTCATTTCTCTGTCCCTAGCGGTTAGCCCAGTTCCCAGCAGAAGGCGACAATGAATAAACACTTACAAAAATAGATCAATGGATAGATGAGCATGGATCAAAAGGGATGGCACCAGACCTGTCTGAGAGTTACTGAGGCCAATTTGGTGGAAAGAGAGTTCAGGAAGAAGACTGAGGGTATGGAGGTGGGGTGATATATTCAAAAGCGAGGTTGGAGTCAGATTCTAGAGGCAACCTTCCAAAGAACATCCAATGTCTTCCAGTGAATGAGGGACGTTTTACTATTGTGTCCTTTCCTTTGAAGCCTGTGTTCTCTGCACACCCCATTCGTCTAGATCATCAGTTCTTAGCCTTTTGTGCCATCTACTCACTTGCTGAGACAAATTTTATTTTTTCTTACTTTTTAGAATTTATTTATTTATTATATTTGAGATACTTTTTAATGCGTTATAAATAAAAAAAACCATAGAATAAAGAGGAAGCCAGTTACATGGAAATGCAGGCCTTTCCATTGCATCTTTGTGGCCTGATGGGTTGTTTGCTGAGGGATCCCCTAGATACAGAGCAACATGCTGTCCTAAAGTGACTGAGCAATGGTTAAGGAGAAAATCTGGCAAGGAGACCTTCCTGGGGTGAAGCATCTTGAAATTGACATTGAAGTTGGTCTTGCCTGTAGAGGAAGCTGTTGGTGTTCTTTGTGAGTGGGAAGGAGGTGACCTTTGAAAGACTCACAGTTGGTTCTTTGGACCCCTTTATCCTTCCTGGTGTGACCAGTTGAACCATGGCCCGGTCCCAAATTCAGTTCGAATCCTTGTCAGGACATTATCATCCTGGTCAGCAACAATTTTTGTACCTCTTCTTGGCAAGCTACGTTAGGCTTTCACTCCTCTGAAATCTCAATCCTTCCAGGGAGTTTCTATGGGTGTGTGAATGGCTCTGCGCCCTCTCCTCCCGGATAACCTGACAGGACTTCAGTCTTTTGAGGTTTCCTCCCTGTTGTCCAAGTCCACTCTGTTTCATCTCTCATAAGTGGGGTGAGGCCTCACACTGTAATCTGTCTTAGCCTTGGGCTGTTCATGTGAACTTCTGGTTTCCTCACTGATCTCAAATGTTCTCTTGTGACATATTTTTCTTTATTTGTTCAAAGGGTTCAAAGTTTTTTTGTTTTGTTTCTTAAATACCACTTACTGGTTTATTTCCTTCTGAGTTATTTGGCTGTTCTTCCATTACTAAATAGCAAAGACGACATTGCCACATACTTCCCAGCCAATACAGTGGAATTAAAAATACTGATGTGAGAGAGAATTAAAGGACCATGTGCCTTATCCAAGCCACTTTGTCCCTAGGGAGCTCAGGACAAGAACAGAAATGAAAATTAGGCCCCTTTCTTGAAACTCAGGAGTGGGTTGAGAGTGTCTCTCTCTGTCCTCATTCTTGTCCCGAATCCAGAGCTTTGAGAGTAGTTTTAGTGGATTAAGTAGGATTCTGAGGAATACCATTTCTCTAAACCTTCCTGTTCCTCTTCCACCAGATCACCTACCTTCTCATATCCCCTCTCCTCTAGGTCTCTTGCTCAGTGCTGGTGAGTAGAACATAAGAAACTGTGAACTCTTAGTCCAAGTAGTAGGTGATCCCTTTGAGCATCTCAGGGCAATCCTCCAGACAGGCCTCAGCCACTTTATTTTATTATTATTACTATTTGTTAATCTTCACCCGAAGATATTTTTCCATTGAATTTTTAGATAGAGTGGAAGAGAGGAAGGGAGAGAGAGAGAGAGACATCAATGTGAAAGAGATACATCAATTGGTTGCCTACTGCACGACCCTGACCGTGGCCGGGGATTGAACCTGCAACACAGGTACATGCCCTTGACTGGGAATCTGACTCAAGACCCTTCAGCCTGTAGGCTGACACTCTAACCACTGAGCCAAGCCATCTAGGGCTGACTCAGCCACTTTATTGAGATGCTCTCTGCTTCCCACTTCTGATTGGTGTTCAGAGCTGCCAGGTCCGAGAGGACTCAGGCCGGGACTTCTTTGTTGAATTTGATGAATCTGTCCATTGTAGGCATACGTGTGTGTGTGTGTGTGTGTGTGTGTGTGTGTGTGTGTGTGATTCAAAAACTCTCAACCCAAGAGTCCCTGGAAGGTGTGAGACTGAGACCATGAAGGTATGGCCACCAGACCCCATACACCATAAGTCGGTCTGTCTTCATTTTCTGCTTTATTCCTGGAATTGTTTCCATCTCTGTTTTTAATTTTTTTTATTTTAATGTTTTATTCTTAGTAATTATTTTATCCTATAAAGCTATAAATGCAGCTGAAACTTCAATTTTTATTTTGTTTTAGAGAAATGTCTACATTGTTATTTCCAATTACATACGTAATCTTTTTGCATTTCCTCCCTTTACTGTGAATCATTTCCCAGTGAATATTCTTTGCTTAAAACACTAATTTTTTTTAATACCTGGTTTATGCAAAGTAAGATGGTTTCCAAACTATTTTTCCTTTACTTTTCACATATTTTAGCTGGTTATTTTGGAACTATTTGCCTTCATGTCTCTAAATAAAATACTTTTTTTTTTACAAAAAAAAAGCAAATACCATGCAGATACTTTATTTCCTTGGGCAAAGAGTCAAAAGTTGCGAAAAAATAGCTCTACCAAAAAACTAAAAAAATTTAAACAAAATTAAAACAAGTATTTTTAAATAATTAAATTCCTATCATCAGGAATTTAATTCATCATCAGTATTCAATTTTCATTTTCTTTTTAATGTCCTCTAAAAACTAGTTCATAGTAAAACTTAGACTCTTCTCACAAAAAATATTTTAAAGCAGTAAAACAATTTTCCTGAATCCATTAAAATACTTTCTTGATGTTGCTGTTATAATAGGCATCATAAAGCCAATATTCTGGAAGATGATTTATCTTCTTTCTTCTCTTAACCTCCACCACATACACCCATTTCCCATTATCTATCCTTTTAATATAAACATTATATATGAGAAATTAGTTTAGATCTATATTCATTGTAATACCTTTATTACATATATTCTATGTAATACCTTTACAGCTCTGCTGTGTAGTAAACTATAATTATTTTACTTTTATACATAACTTTTTATTTCCAATGGAGCAAATAGTTATTTTTTTTTTTATATTATTATTCAACTGCAGACTCCTCACCAATCGAATTAATCTCATCGAAAGACATTCAGAAATCTCAGATCTAGACAGGTTGCTCTCCACACCTGGGATTTCCTTTACTTATCATCATCCTAAGAATTCCATCTCTTACCTGTGTAGCATCTCCTATTTTCTACATCATGTATATATTCTTCCTCTCTTATGTCATTTTTTCCTTTTGATAGAACACATTATCAAGAAGCTTCTGCCCAGCCAGTGTGGCTCACTGGTTGAGTGGCAACCCATGCACCAAGAGGTCACCAGTTCAATTCCTGGTCAGGGCACATGCCCAGGTTGTGGGCCAAATCCCCAGTGAGGGAGTGTGCAGGAGGTGGCCAATCGATGTTCCCAATCATCGATGTTTCTGTTTTTCTCTCCCTCTCCCCTTTCTCTCTCTCTAAAAATCAATAAAGAAAAAAAAATTTTTTTTAAAGAAACTTCTGGAGGTAACATTTTTTAGTGCTTGTATATCTGAAAATGTCTTTATTATATCCTCACACTTAATTGACAGTTTGGCAGGTATAGAATTTTAGGTTAGAAATAATTTTCTTCAGAGGTTGAAGGTAGCTCGCTGTTGTCTTTCAGCTTTTATTGGTACATTTGAAATATCTAGAGTGATTCTGATTTTTTGTTCT